GCCGGGGGGGAAACCGGCTTTCGTCCATCGTCTCGGCCTGTTGCTCTGTCTCAGTTATACCTCCCTGTTGTGAGCTGCCTTTTTCTTTCCTTTTTGGGGGAGGGGAGGGGGGTTCCCCCCCCTCTTCCACCCCACTTCCCTTTGCAGTTTTCAATTCTCTCGGCCAGCAGCTGTAGCCCTGGCGAGCTTCGTCACTCGTTTCCCCAGTTTTTCGGCTGTGAGGCTATACGGTTTTATTTTGGTCTCCTGCACATCCAATAAAATAAAATTAAAAAACAGCAAAATGTAGGCCTTCGAGAGTCCTCTCTTTTCCCCCCTCCAATTCCGAATAAAACGCAGATAGCGGAGATAAAGTTGGTCTGTTACAGGTAGTCCTTGACTTAGAGCCCCAACATTTTCTATCACTAAGTGAGACATTTGAGTTTTTTATGGCTTTTTCCTGCCACAGTCGTTCAGGGAGTCCCTTGCGGTTGTTAAGTTAATCACACTGGTTGTTAAGTGAATCAGGCTTCTCCACTGACTTGCAAAAGGGGATCACTGACCCCAGGGCGCTGCGACCGTCGTAAATATGAGCCAGTTGCTAAGCTGTCTGAATTTTAATCGCGTGGCCACGGGGAGACTGCAACAGTCATAAAGTCTGAAAAATGTAAGTTCAGTTTTTTCCCCCCATGCCGTTGAAACTTGGAACAGTTGCTAAGCAAGTTGTAAGTCGAGGACTACCTGAATAGCATCTTGAGAAAGGAAAAGTTTTGGGTGTAGTCTAAATGATCAAAATCCTGCTTTGATGGGGTGAAAAATCTCCACGTTCAGGAAAAAAAAGGGGGGTTGATCTCTTCAGAACTGAGCAATCAAGAAACTTTAGAAAGACCCATTTCGTTTCCAGCTGTTCCTCGTCTCCTATTTGGCACTAAAAGTTTATGTTCTGCAATCAGACCTTTTTTCACAGGATTCCTTAATTTAAAAAAAAATTATTTCCCCCCTCTTTTTTTTTTTGGCTAATCTGCTTTCCGTGAGAATAACTGCAAGTTACTCCAAAGTGTTTCTGTCCCGCTGGACTCCCGGAAGATTGTAATCATCTTTTAAAGTTCCTAAGACTTCCTAAGTCGAGAGGGTGATTAAAAGCGTTTGGGGGCAGAGTTGTGCAATCTGGAAGCGTTGCGTCAGCCTTCCGAATTTCTGTGGAATTGCAGCCAGCGAAACATCTTGTGTGGCAAGGCGTCACATATATTACATTCCTCCCTGTGTTTCTCGCCATTTTTATATATAGGTTGTAGACGCAAACGGCGGCTTGGTTTTCAGGCTACTGAAATCAGATTCTGGGGCCGCGTTTGTTTCTCTCACATCCTTTCCTGGACAAGTTTGATTCAGACTGTTGGAAAATCAAGACGTTGGAGATTCGCTTGTTTCTGACAAGGGCTGATAACAGCCACTGGTTTCATTTGCACTGGTCCATGTTTGGTCGGAGAGTGAAATAACAGTCCTTGAGTTAGGCCCACCATCGAGGCCAACCCTTCTGTGGCTAAGTGAAACATGGGTTAAGCGAGGCAGGACTGGAACTCACTGTCACCTGGTGATTGGCCCAAAGTCATCCAGTATAGCTAAGATGGGACTAGAACTCACCATTTCCTGGTGATTGGCTCAAAGTCACCCAGCCGGATTTCATGACTAAGGCAGGACTAGAACTCACTGTCACCTGGTGATTGGCCCAAAGTCACCCAGCTGGATTTCATGACTAAGGCAGGACTAGAACTCACTGTCACCTGGTGATTGGCCCAAAGTCACCCAGTATAGCTAAGACGGGACTAGAACTCACCATCTCCTGGTGATTGGCCCAAAGTCTCCCAGCGGACTTTCATGCCTAAGACAGAACTCGAACTCACCGTCACCTGGTAATTGTCCCAAAGTTCCCCACCCAGGGTTTCATGTCTGAAGATGGGACTAGAACTCACTGTGACCTGGAGATTGGCCCAAAGTCACCCAGCTGGATTTCATGACTAAGGCAGGACTTGAACTCGCGTTCACCCAGTTTCCAACCTGGTGCCTTTTTAACCCTTAGACCAAACTGGCTGATTTTGCTTATCACCTGCCCTCCCCCTTCTTAAGAATTTGTTTTCCTCATACTAGACGGGTGAGGAGGGGCCGTCTCTTGACAGACACAACCCAAAGGCGGCAATCTCGACCCACAAAAGTTCACGCGGTCCACGTCTGCCCACGCTTCCGGCAGCCGCACTGACGGATCCTTTTCTGCACCACTTTCTGCACCCACCCCTTACATTCAGCTAAAGAAATCCCAGTTGCGACACAGGGCGAAGGCGAGGGCCAGATCCACCCATCCTGTGAGAAAGAGCACGCAGTAACTGTGTGACCCCTTTCCTTCCCCCCGCCACCCAAAAAAAAAAAGAGGAAACGGAAGAAAAAACGATCCTGCTTACTCACATTATAAACCGGCAGCTTGGCGACCGGGGTTTTAAAAAGTTTTTCACCAAAATGTTTTAAACCACAATTAGCACAAACCCTTTGAGGACCCCCCCCCCCCCAAATTGGGAAAGAGCAAAGAAACGTGTCCAAAATTCAACGTGTGATCTTCATAAAGAGAAGTTTGCTTAACTTAAAACCATCTTTGCCCGTATTTGGTGGGTTGACTAACAATGCTGGCTAAGTTCAAAAGAGATCCGTCGAAAGGCTAAAAGTAACAAGGATAGAGGGCCCAAGCTCCAGGTTTTGGTTTAATTTAAGGAAAAAGACTAGGGCGCTAGAGATAGAAGTAAAATTGGGATATATTTTTTTTTCTTATCCGGCGTCTCAAGGAACGGACTAAGTTTGTAAACAGGCAAATGTTTTTGTGTTTGTAAAGAAGGAAGTCGAGCAAGAGAACGCAACCCACACAAAGTAGCATGGTGCCAATTCCTACAAGACAGCTTGCTTGCAAAACAATCACAATTTGCATGAATCTGTCACACACAAGAACCCCATTTTTATATGTGACTTGTTTAGCCTAGGGTGGTCATTTCTCAACCTTGGCCGCTTTAAGAAGGGTGGATTTCAACTCCCAGAATCCCCCAGGCCAGCATGTTTTAAAGAGGGGGTGGTGTTTTCAACTCTATGATAGCTGGGGAATTCTGGGAGTTGAAGTCCACCCTTCTTTAAAGCAGCCAAGGTTGAGAAAAACAACAACAAACCTGCTCCTTTAAATCTCCATCGACTTGATTCAACTGGAGTTGTATAAAGTCGATGGAAGTTTAAACCAGGAGTCTCCAACCTTGGCACCTTTCAGACTTGGGGACTTCAACTCCCAGAATTCCTCAGCTAACATGATTGGAGGAGGAGATCTTGGAATTGAAGTCCACAAGTCTGAAAGTTGTCAAGGTTGGAGACCCCTGGTTTAAAGGACTTTTTAATTGCAAGCTGTCTTTATCTCCAAGAAGCAGTTTTTCTAATATTTTTACCACCATTTTTCTCCTGGCCTTTTCGAGCCGATCTTTGTGACGTTGTGCTAAACTGGGTTGTGTTTCGCTATTGCTACGTGCGAAAAGGGAAAAGAAATAAAACAAATAAGAGGCTGTTCGTTATCTGGATGAAAAAGTCTCGAGAAAGGCTGAGGGCAGCTTGCAGAAGGAAGGGCAAGACTGCACGTCAGCAAAAGTGAAAATCATGAGCTTTTTTGTTTTCCTTCTCTCAAATGTGTGAACAAGTTGATATGTTTCTGAAGGTCTGGCATCCTAAAAAACTTCCTTCCTTTTCTTTTTTCTTTTAACCTGGTTTCTAGATTGTAGATGATACAAAGCAGCACAACTCCTCGACTTGCGACCACAATCGAGCCCAAAATTTACGTGGCTAAGCGAAACGTTGGTTAAGTGAGCCCTGCCCCATGTTACGACCTTTCTCGCCACTGTTTGTTAAGTGAATCGCTGCCGTTAGCCACGTGGTTAAGTGAATCTGGCTTCCTTGTTGACTCGGCTTGTCGGAAGGTCGCAAAAGGGGATTATGTGCCCCCCAGGGATGCTGCGACCGTCATAAACACGAGTCAGTTGCCAAGGGGCTGAATCTTGATCACGTGACCATGGGGGGGATGCAACGGTTGTTAAGTGTGAAAAACTATCATAAGTCACTTTTTTTGCAACAGCCGTTAAGTATGAAAAACTATCATAAGTCACTTTTTTTGCAACAGCTGTTAAGTATGAAAAACTATCATAAGTCACTTTTTTTGCAACGGTCGTTAAGTGTGAAAAACTATCATAAGTCACTTTTTTCCAGTGCCGTTATAACTTTGAACGAAATGAACTGTTGGCTAAGCGCCTGGATTTTAATTGCCTGTGACGGTTGTAAGTGCAAGAACTGGTCATAAGCCCTTTTTTTTTTTCAGTGCCATTGCAACTTCAAATCGTTACTATGCAAATGGTTGTAAGTGGAGAACTATCTGTATCCCAGAAGGATAACCAGGGAAGGAGAACATGGAGGAAAAAAGAAACATATTCAAAAGCAGAATTTCCTTTCCTAATATTGGAATTCGCACAACCTGGTCCCACGTCCTTATAGTTGTGCTTTTAAAGTTGTAGCAACGTTTCGACAGAATCTCATCTGCCATCATCAGGCTTCTTCACATATATATATATGTAAAATAATACAGAAGCCTGATAATGGCAGATGAGATTCTGCCGAAACGTTGCTACAACTTTAAAAGCACAACTACAATGAGGTGGGAAAATACCCGAACAAAGCTGAATGCCATATATGTAAAATAATATATATATTAAAAAGCATTTCTTTGTAACTCGGGCATTTCCCAGGAAATAGCAAGCATAAATCTATCCTTTCGCCTGTGTAAATAGGGCAGGACAGGGGCTCTGCAAGACTTTTACTCATAGCCTCCAGGCGCTGCAAATGCTCTGTCACCCTTTCGGGGAGGAAGTTGCAAGGGGGTGGGGTGTGATGAAGACGCCCTGAATTGGGGAAAGACCTGCAGGCAGAGGCGGGGTAAGAACAAAAGGCCAGCGGTGGCTCCCCGGGGACGTGTTTTCGAATCCAGCTGAGGATCTGGAAAAACTTCAAGGGGAGACCGAATTCAAAAAGGTACGTTCTACTTTCTTCCTTTCCAAAAGTTTCTTTCTCTTTTTGAAAACTAGGAAGGTGTTTTTTTTCTTCTTCTCCCGCCAACAAAGCTTCCTTTGTTGTGCCGCTGGCGATGCTCCTTGCAAACTCAAAAAGGAAAGCTGAGGAAAATTTATCATGCTACATTTCTGGATTTTTTAATCGGCAAGAGAAGCGTTCTTTGCTGCCTTACGCACCATCCTTGCCCGTTTGTCCGAAGGTCCTTGGAAAGCACTGCCAATGGACCAACTCTTTTTATTTCCAGTCATCTCTGCTGCTGCTGCCTTGTATAGAGCCTCCCTCTTCAGGAACACGTTACCTTCCAGATGCCCAGTCTTGGGAGGGGAAAGGGCTGGCAAAAAGGAAAAACTTCAGAAGCAAACTCCAAACTTCAGAAGCCTTGGGAGGGCAGCCGAGCAAGGAAGATGCTCAAAACACAAGATAGTTTTAGACTCTTAGCAAATCGTATTTGGTGTGGCAGCCATCTTGCAAGTTCAATGAACGTTTTCTCCGATGTGCGAGGTGGTCCTGTTCAATGGGCAGTGGTTTTATCTAATCTCAGGGGGTAGAAAGTCTTTCTGGAAGCGGATGAGGGGAGAAGGTATGTAGAAGGTACATAAAGCGAAGTGGGTGTATTTAGTCAGGGGCACACCTCAGCCACACTCAAGTGACTAATACAGAATGCAGACCTCTGAGTCATTTCCCGCAGACGTTTTTCCTGGATTTTAACTCCTTTGTGGGAGAAACGTGGGTCCATTGGTTAACAGATAACAGATAATCGGAGTTGGAAGGGACCTTGTAGGTCATCTAGTCCAACCCCCCGCCCAAGCGGGAGACCCTACACCATTTCTGACAGATGGCAGTCCAGTGTCTTCTTGAAAGCCTCCAGGGATGAAGCTCCCACAACTTCCGAGGGCAACTCCTGTACCATGGGTTGATTGTTCTTCCTGTCAGGAAATTTATCCTTATTTCCAGGTTGAATCTCTCCTTGATCAGTTTCCATCCATTATTCCTTGTCTGGCCTTCAGGTGCCTTGGAGAATAGCTTGACCCCTTCCTCCTCTCTGGGGCAGCCCCTCAAATATTGGAAAACTGCTATCAAGTCTCCCCTGGTCCTTTTCTTCCCTAGGCCAGCCAAGCCCAGTTCTTGCAACCGTTCTTCCTATGTTTTAGTCTCCAGCCCCCTAATCATCCTGGTTGTTCTTCTCTGCACTTTTTCTAGAGCCTCAACATCTTTTTTATAATGTGGTGACCAAAACTGGATGCAGTACTCTAGGTGTGGTCTTACTAAGGCTTTATAGAGTGGTATCAGTACCTCACTTGATCTCGATTGTATCCTTCTGTTAATGCAGTTTAGGATTGCGTTGGCTTTTTTGGCTGCTGCTGCACACGGCTGGCTCCTATTTAGCTGGTTGTCCACTAAGGCTCCAAGATCCCTCTCCCAGTTCCTGCTATTGAGCCGGGTTTCACCCCAGTCTATACGTGTCCTTTTGGTTTTTCTTGCCTAAGTGTAGGACTTTCCTTTTCTCTACATTGAATTTCATTTTGTTAGATATGGTTGAAAGCCAACAGCCCCTAATCGCCATTCATCACAGAGGTTCCGAGCCCTTGAGGTTATCCAAATGGATTCCAGCGGGAACCTGCGGCAGTCGGGGGGGGGGATTTCCGCTTGGGAGCGGAGCAAGGGAGAATCGAGAGATTTGGCCATTTTTAATGGTCCGCGGGAGGAAATCTCCAGGCCAGTTTGACAGAGAGGTTTGGCATTATTTTCAGGGCATCTGAGAGGTAGGTGAGGGCTAGAGGGGTAGTGGTCTGGATGTGCCAACCTGTGGCGAACAGGATTAGCCACTGGTTGGCTTTTGGATCTGGGATATTTGAGTGAAGCCCCACCTGGAGTGGTTGGGTTGGGAAGCTAAACAAATAATTCCCTCAACACTGTTCAACTATTACAAAGTCGGCACTACTATTACTATTAATCTTCTCATCATTCCTTATTGCCCATCCCCTCCCACTTGTGACTGAATGACTGTAACTTTGTCACTTGTATCCTTACGATTTATCTTGACTGTTTCCTAGTATGATTTGATTGCTTATTATAGCCTATGATTATTATCAAGTGTTGTACCTGATGATTCTTGACTCGGGACGAATGTATCTTTTCTTTTATGTACACTGAGAGCATTTGCACCAAGACAAATTTCTTGTGTGTCCAATCACACTTGGCCAATAAAGTATTCTGTTCTGTTCCATTCTATTCTATTCTATTCTATTCTATTCTATTCTATTCTATTCCATTCCATTCCATTCCATTCCATTCCATTCCATTCTATTCTATTTCTTATTCTATTCTATTCCCTATTCTATTCTATTCTATTCTATTCTATTCTATTTCTATTTCTTATTCTATTTCTTATTCTATTCTATTCTATTCCCTAT